CGCGCGACCCACCTTCCCGAATCCGTCTGAAACCCCCTCTGGGGACCTGTGTCCTTGTGACTCCACTAAACTGCCTCTCACCGGACCCTCTTCTCCCGCCGAGCTGTGCCCTCCGGTTCCCCGCTCCTGCACCGAGCTGTGGCCCCGCTCCGTGCACCGGGCTCCGCTCCCGCTTCTCCGCTCGCTGCCCTCCCCGCCGATGCCCGCACCGAGCTGCCCCGCTTCCCCTCCCGGCTCCCCGCGCCGGGCTGCCTACCCCCGCCGCCTCCCCGGCTCCCCGGGCAGGTGCCGGTGCCGGTGCCGCCGCGGGGCGGGCGGTGGGTGCCCCGAGCTGCGGTCGCGCACGGCCGCCGCACGCACACGCACACACACACACGTACGGGGGGCACACACATGCACTCGCATGCACACGCCCGGGTGCATACCGGCACCTGCTGTGCACGTACTCTGTGCAACAGGGACCCCTCTGTGCACCCCCCTCGGCAGCGCCGGGACCCTCCGTGGGCACCCCGGGGGGCTGCGTGGGGAGGGGCTTTGGAGAGGACAGAGCAGCAGGGTGGGTTTTGTGTGGGGTCTGCCTGGAGGACGTGTTCCCCAGAACCAGCAGTGCCCTGTGGGACCCGAGGCGGAGCTGGGCTGGGGGCACTGGGCTGCAGCCTGAGTATCCCCAGCCTCAAGGACATGGAGAGGTCCCATATGGACGTTGCCCAGCCTGTCCCCAAATTCCGGGGGAAAGTGGGGGATGACCTGGGTTTGGGCCAGGTATGAGATGCCCCAGCCTGGGACAGAGGAGCTCCTGGCACCTGCGGTCCCACCACAATCCCACTGCAGTCCCATGGCATAATGCCCCCCCTTCACACACACACACACATACACACACACACGTTATTTATTCAATTTTTCCCAGACCATTCATGTCACTGCCTGCACTCTTCTCCTGACCTGGCACCAGACCCAGGCACGTGCCCCAGCAGTGACCTGCTGGCAGCCACACGCTTTCCCTCGTTTGTTAATACGACGTGGTCTATTTCCACATTTGGAGCAGTGCCTGGAGATGTGCATGTAAATCCCAAGCAATAGAGGGTAGGCTGATGACAGCTGCCGGGAAGGTTTGTCCATCACATTGCCATTTCCTTCAACACCTTCACATGCTTCCAGCATCTCCACAAGCACACTTGGTGCTGCAAGCACTGGGTGAGCTCAGTGCTGGGGCTGCAGGGATGCCCCTTCTGCCCTGAACCCTGTCCCTGCACACAGTGCATTCCTCTGCAGCTACACTGGGCTCTGTGTTATCCACAGTGTCTAGACACTGCTCTGCATGGAGATGTCAGATGGGAGTCTCCTGACACCTGTGTTATGACAGGGCAGGGATTTTCTCTGAAGTCTCTGTCAGATACAGCTAAAATGAATTTAAAAGGGTCAGAGAGTTTTAGGGCATGGCACATAACTAAAGAGGTGCATTTGTGTTTTCTGAGGGCTGGACAGGTGCAACACGATCCAGGCTCAGCACCTATCCAGGCACAGTATCTATCAATGATGCTTACTGGAACTCTCTAGACCAACACATGGTACCTTCAGTCACTGAGCTGCAGCAGGGGCATGGAACTGCCATGGCAGGGGGCTTAGAATGAGATGATCCGTAAAGTATCTTTCAACCCAAACCATTCCGTGACTCTGTGACACACAGAGGCTTCCCAGCACAGTGTCCCCAGAGATGCAGCCAGAAGTGGGCTGAGAAAGAAGCAGAATTAAAAATAAATGTAAGTGCATCCTGCCACGTTAACTACATTTAGAGAGGCTTTAGTACCAACCCACTCCGCAGGAAGGCAGGAGATGCTTGGAGACAAGTAGGTCATGGGACACAGATTGTCCCAAATCAGCAGGAAAAGATGGATTTGGAGCAGGCGGGCATATCACTGTGAACAGATGGGCAGGAGCAGATCTGCTGCCTCACCATCGCCAAATTCCCTGGGAAGACAGAACTGCCACCAGTTTGCTCCTGAGCAGAGCTGTGGTCAAGCCCTCTGTTCTGGAGCACCCAAGCCCTGTGGCTGCCCGTGCACCCAGGGATGCCAAGGCTGGAGCCCAGCCAGGGCTTTGTGGGGCAGAAGCAGACGCACTCGTGGCTGTGGCTCCCACCTGCCTTCATACAGGGACAGGGCTGAGCCTGCTGTGGGGTCAGGGCTCCATGCTGCCTGAGGGGCTGCTCCTGCACCCCAGTCCCACAGCAATGCTCGAGAGCCCACCTGTGATGGATAAGGTGGAGGGATACATCCTGCTGGCATCGCTGCTTGTACCCTGCTGCCCCAGGATCCCAATGCCATTGCTGGATGGGAGCTGGAGGGGATCCCAGGTCTTTCAAGGGGCCTCGGGGTAGCTCAAAAACCTTCCCCAGACTGATTTCAAGTGGCTGAGCATGAGGCTGGGGAATGGCAAAGGGCACTCCATCTCCAAGGTGCTGGTACTAAGGGAAGGGGAGGAGAGACTGAGACAGCCAAGATCTATGCTGCCAGTGCAGGAGCAAAGAGAGAAGGGAGACAGCCAAGGTCAGAGGGAGAACTGCCAAAATTCACAATGAAACTGCAGGAGTGCTGGAGGGGAGAGACAGACGACTTGGAAAGAGAATGATAGAGGAGGGGGGGAAGGAGTCTGGGAGTTGGAGCAGGGTGAAGAAGCCAGACAAGGGAAGCAGGGTTGGGAACATGTCACTCCACAGATGAAGTGATTGAACATGGATGAGAGGGACAGCAAAGACAGCCTCAGGCAGGCAGAAGACAACAGGAGCAGGAATGTGATGGAGCTAGACAGGCTGTGGACCTGGCTTTGTTCCCTAACACAGCTCTGTGAAGCACAGCCCAATTTTGGGGAGTGCACAGCTGTCTGGTGCCCACTGGCAGTGCTGACCTCTATCTAGCCTCACCACCGAGGTGAAGTTTCATTCCTGCCTCCTTAGCATTCACAGCATCCCATGGCAGAGTGAGTGTCTGCAGCCAGCGTGGCTGAAGGTGACTTGGAGGTCAGGGAAAAAGCAGCCAGGCAATTCAGGAGCTGGCTCTACATCACGGAGAGATCCAGCAGTTTGGGAGGACCAGAGATGCCCAGCACATCACGGCCTCCCTGCCTGTCATGGCCAGTCCTTGTGTACTCATCAGAACATCCCAGTGTTCCACATAGATGGGGTGGGTTTCTGATCCAGCAAATTGCTCCTGGGAGCTGTTGCCACCATCAAGGAGGGAGGGCTGGACATCAGCCTCGATGCTGGGGAAGGCTGGAGATGCACAGTGGGCATCAGTGAGGGTGGTTCCCTTCTGCAGGGCATGGAGTTCCCAGACAGGTTTGGTGCCCTGGAAGAGCAGTGGATATCTGCTCTGGGATTCCTGGGAGGTTCCTCCAAGTCCCCATGGGATACACCACTCCAAGGATGGTTTATAGCAAAAATCCCTCTCCTTCCCCAAACATCTGAACCCCAGCCCAAAGGCAGCTGGCAGGATGGAGCCCTGCTTGCCTCTACGACCAGCTGCAGAGCCGCACTGGGAAGAGGCTCAGCACTTTCCTGGTAATTAAGATCTCGTTATCTTCAGCTAACACCAGGGAGACAGGGAAAACCACAGGTGCCTTGTGATACGGCAACAGCTGATGCTCCAGGCTGTGCCTGGGAGCAATGGGAGCCTTGCTGTGTTCTGCCTGAATATAAAGCACGGAAAGCACGAAGCAGAGAGTGACAAACTATTTTTTTCTTGGCTGATGACACCTAAATGTGCAAACATACTGTCTTCTCTCAGGGGTGGCTGGAGCTAGCGTAGATGGATGGCTGTGCACCTTTCACCTTCCCTCTCTGCACAGAGGTCCGACCTGAGGCTCTGTTTTTTGTTTGGATTTTCTTTTTCTTTTTTTGTTTTTATTTTCTTTTTTTCTTCTGCAAATTTCCTTCACCAGGGGAGTTTTATGAGACGTGTCTGGAGTCACGCAGGAGCTGCTCACCTGCAGAGAAAGATGGGGCGGTGTCTGTAAACGGGCTCTTAGAATGTCAAGGGTGAAAGGGGTTGGGAGAAGAGGAGGGGAGGGGAAGACAAGGAGAGGAGAGGAAGAGAGGAGAGGAAGAACAGATGGATGGGCAGAGGGAGATTCCTCTCCACCCTCATGGAGCTAAAATGAAGGGTGCGGCACCGTGTTCCCGGGCACGTGTGCGTGCTGCCGGGGAGCCCCGGGAAGGACCAGGGAGCCATTTACAGCGGCAGGTCCCTGCCGAGGGGGCTGTGCGGAGCTGTGGCGAGCGGCCACGGGCCCTGCGGGGGCTGCGGCCGGAGCTGCCCGCAGCGACTCCGGGGGCGGGCCCGGTGTGGGACCCCGCGCGGCGCCTTCCCGCCCTCGGCTGAGCCGCGGCTGAGGCCTGAGGCGGCTCTGCCCGCCCCGCCGAGCGCCCTCAGAGCCTGCCAATCCCCCTCGATCCCCGCAGAGCCCAGCGGGGCTCCTCATCCTCCCCAGAGCCCCTCAGTGCCCGTCCATCCCTCGGGATCCCGCTAAATCCGACACTCCCCTCCTGGTACTGCTCAGGGCCCCTGTCATCTCTGATCCCACTAAATCCCCCTGTCCCCTCAGGCATCACTAAATCCACCCTGACCCATCCCCTAAGGATCCCACCAAAGCCCCCTGCCCTCTGAGGGTCCCACTAAATCCTTTCATTCTCTCAGCACCCAGCTGGGTGATCCCAGCCCTTCTGGATCCCACTAAATCCTTGCACCCCTCCATATCTACTTGGGTGCCCTGTCCTCTCAAATCCCATAAATTCTCTCATCCCCTTCAATGCCTGGTTGTGTCTCCCGATCCCCTCAGATCCCACTAAATTCCCCCTTCCCCACAGCACCTGACTGGGTCCCCCATCCCCTCAGACTCCACTAAATCCCTAATCACACTTGGTGGCCCAGGACTAATCTTCTGTTGCAAGGGAAAGAGCTCAGGGAATTTTGTCAGGGCTGCCCTGAGACCTTTGGCCAGGCACCATGTTCTACCATGTCCATTTGCTCATCAACAAGCGGGGGCCGCTGGCCAAAATCTGGCTGGCTGCCCACTGGGAGAAGAAGCTCACCAAGGCGCATATCTTTGAGTGCAATTTAGAGATGACCATACAAAAAATCCTCTCCCCAAAGGTAGGCTGTGGCATGAGGAGGGATCTCCTGGAGGGTCCTGGGGTGGAGGTGTTGGTCTTTCATAGAGAACTCTATTACTTCTGTGTAATATTTTAATGTTTTTACCAAAATTACTAACTCCTGAATAACTTTTTTTTTTTTTAAATTTTAAATCCGCACAGTTTGCTATAGCTCTGCGAACCTCTGGACACTTACTCCTGGGGGTGGTACGGATTTACCACAGGAAAGCAAAGTACCTCTTGGCAGACTGCAGTGAAGCTCTGACCAAAATGAAGACAGCCTTTCGACCAGGTGTATACAAAACCCAGCATTTTTTCATCTGTGTACTTTACAGCTCTCATTTTAAAAGTTAATTTTTAGATATTTCTGTTAAATATACACTACTGACCCCAAAGGAAACTGAGCATACTAGCACCTACCACTGGTGTTTAGTCTGGCTTAATTTAGTGCCATTTCAGGTCTTTGATTCCCTTAACAGAAGCAGTATCTTAAAAGTGGGCTTACAAGAAGATGTTGAGTTCAGCCTCCTTTGCTAGATAATTAATTTTAATTTCTGATGACACCAACAACATGTCTAACAGTGTCAGTGCCAGACCTGACAGCGTGTTTTGAGCTCTAGCCATGTAGACAGGGAGAAGGGAGCTGAGATGACTGGAGCCTTTTCCAACAGGCTCTGTGTTTGTCATACTTGGGCAATAAATGGGAGGCACTGTTGTCTAAAAAAAGCCTAGCACCAGTGTCTACTGCCAGTTTTAATGTGCTTTGTGACCTGGTCTGTTTGCAAAATAGTGAATAATTAGTCTGCATTATTCTCAAGGACATGATCACAGAACTATAGAATCATAGAACCATTTAGGCTGGAAAAGCCCTCCAAAACCCAGTCCAACTGTTCACCCAGCACTGCCAAGGCCACCACTAAGCTGTGTCCCCAAATACCACATGTCTTTCAAATCCCTCCAGGGATGGTGACACCAGTACTACCCTGTGCCAGGGCTTGAAAACCTTTTCAGTGAAGAAATTTTTCTTAATATCCAACTGAAATCCTCTGGCCACAGCTTGTGGCTATTTTGGGGATAGATCCTGTAGCAACTTGGAGGGCACCACACAGCTCAAGAACACACAACAGTCACCACTGCAGCAACAGAGACTTTACCTGAACAGAAGGGGGGGGGGGAAATCTCAGCAGAAATGGTAAAATGCTGAAAGAGGCTGTTCAGGAATGCTGTGAAATCAACAGAAACAGAAATAGACAAAAGTGATCTGACTTTGAAATTAACCCTCTTCTGAGCAAAAGGTTGGGTTGGATGACCTTGAGAAATCCCTCCACACATGAATTTTTCCAGGATCCCCTGATTCCCAAGCAACTGGAGTCTGAGTACATAATTATTTGATGCTGGAGAACAGTGTTGTGGAGACAGAGCAGGGAAAAGGAAAACAAAGTGGTTCATTTGCAGTGCTGTGTAAGACTCTGGGCTAAACATCAGCTGGGAGAACCTTCCAGGGACTTAAAGCAGCTGTTCACCAACACAAGTACTTACATATTTCGGGTCCTGTTGCAGCAGACTCTTTTGTATCTGTCTGTAAAAAATAGATCATCTTAAGGACATAGAAACTGAAATTCCACTTTTGGTGGCTTTTTGCCTAGGCTTTACCTTTCTGTGATTTAGAATGGTAGCAGCCCCTCCTGACAGGTTTATAGGCTTATTATACCTACTTGGGAGAGAACACTACTTTTATTTTATTGATACTTATTTTGTTATGTTGTCTGTTTATTTCAGGCCTTCTTGACCTTCCAGAAGAGAACTTTGAGGCTGCTTATCAGTCCATTACATTACCTGAAGTATTTCATGATTTTGAAGCACCACTACCAGATGTAAAGTAAATGCTTCCCTGGTTTTTATTCATTCCTTTAGTATTTTCAGAAGTAAAAGCTATGCTTGCTGTTATCTGATTGAGACTCACGTTGTGTTGTTTCGATTTAATAACTGAATTCTCCTAAATTCTGAGCTCTACAAGGCTACAGTGTTGTGCTTTGTTAGTTTTCTTCAGTCTTTTAATCAACAGACCTTCACAATGAAATAATGTCTTGAACTTAGACTTCAGGATTTTAAATTATCTGAGTGAAGGATGCAAACAGCTTTCTGAATCTCAAGAGAAGAGATAAAAATTAGTATTAATCCTGAAAGATGTGGCCAGTAACCACACAGTGTTGCACTGTTCCAGTGGGTAACTTAATTTTGTTTCTGCTCCACTGCTCTCTGGGGCTGGGGTGTTTTATCAGCAATAGTCAGCCTGGCTCCTGAGAAAAAAGCCAGCATATTTCTTAGGCTTTTTTGACACAAAGCAGCATTAATGTAGAAAACTGATAAAAAGGAGGAGGCTAAGTTGTGTTTCTGATGGCTCTGGTGCCCTGAAGGTCCAGGACAAGAGATTTCCACCAAGGGTTGCTCTGTACCTCCTCATAAATACCGTTTGATGGCATCAGTAAGGGTTTATCATTTTGTAAGTACAGCTGCAACATAATACACTTTATTCAAGTGCCTCAACATACTGACTCTGTAAAGATGCCTTTTCTGTCTGCCCAAAGAGTTGTGCCATTTGATTTAAAAGATGTTTCACTAATTAGTTGCCTTCTGAGAAGGGCCTGGTACATACCAGGCCTTGGATGGGAACAAAATCACAAAAGCCTAAGTTTACTGGCAAAAGAGAGTGGAGAAATATGGGGGTTTGTGATAAAATGCCAGGATTGAAAGCTGTTTAGAAACAAGTTTTCACATTCCAGCTGAACACTAAATGGATTTCAGTTCACCCTATATTTTTATAATATTTTTTTCATCAGGGCCATTGATGTTGCTGAACATTTTACCTTGAATCAGAGCAGAGCTGAAGAAATCACACTCACAGAGGATTATGAAAGCAGTATACTTCTCTGTGATAGAAACTTTGGTGAGAGAAGTGGAGAAATTTGAAGTATTTCATATGAGGAAGTGTGTTTTATATGAAACTTTTATGTGAGCCCTTTCCACATATGAAAAAGCTGTCATTAAAGGTGCATTTGTTTCATGCTTTTGCTGATTGGCATATCATGCTGTCTGAGGTTTAAAAATTTTGTGTAAGCAATATAATCTGGTGTCAGAGACTGAGAACCAAACCAAACATTTCCTGCTTTTACTAGATCAGATAACATTGTTTATTGTTTATTTCATTTGAGGTATGGATGTCTTGCAATCTTTTAAAAATTACTAGAAAAATTAGGAAATTATTAAATCTGGCTTTCCAAAACTCACGCAGATGAGGGATCAGGAATTGTGTGTTTCCTCAGATGAAGAAGCAGATGCACTGAGGAGACAGAGCTTCTTTGAGGGCAGTGTCCTGACAAGCAGTAACAGTCTGGTGGCTGATCCCAACTCAGCCAGCACCAGCGGAGACAAATCTGTGCTGCACGAAGATGTTTACTGCTTCCAGGATGACCGTTTTGGGGATGAGGACGATGCTGCAGATATGATTGGTAGGGCTTGCCATGGGCAAACAGAATCTGTTCCTTTCCAAATATTTTTATTCTTACAGGAAAACAGTCAAGACAGCACCAAAGTGCTTGTAGTCAAAAATAAATTCTATGTTGTTTGTTGTTTTCATACATATTTTTTTTCCTATCTGTCACTAAATCTATGATCACTTAGACACTGCCAAGTCAAATTGGTTTAAAGGCTGTATTTCATTATTTTAGAATTAAAGGCATTAAATTTATGCTTAATGTTTAACAATTTAATTTCTATTTTCAAAGGTGAAATAGTGCAGCATTTTTATCCTTACTGTTGTAATAACAAAGGCAGCAAAGTAGCTTCTACATCATTATGGCTTAGAGTATTTATGTAAACCTTACAGATTGATACCTGTTAACACTGTCAAGGCCATCATTTTCAAACACAAAGGGGGAAATCTCAAAGTTGGGACTAATCCCCTCCTTTGTGTGCTGTTGCAGACAGTCGTATCACTGATGGCCATCTGCAGAAGCTGAGCTTTATTTCTTTGCAGAGTGTTAACCTTGACTAACATTAGGCTGTATCAGGCTATTTCATGACTACTAAGGCTTAGAATGATTAAAACTATGTGTTTTGTATTTAAGAAATCCTGTTGAGGGATGAGCAAAATGTCCTAGATAAAGACATTCTTGATGCAGAGGAAGCACATCCTTTGTCACAAGATCTGCCAGAGACCAGCACAGCCAGTGAGTTTGCAGCATCTGCTCCATCTCACATAAGCCCTCTGTTCCTGTGTTAATGCCCATCACTCACATTCAGCTTTTTGTAGTAACTTTGTGCCTTTTGCCTTTCTTCTTTTATTTTGAGCTTTTTTTTTTTTTTCCTAAACTGCTTCATCCACCATTTTAGGATAATTTTATTTGATTTAGGGATTCCAAATTTGTAACTTGACATTGCTTAGAAACACCTTCATGTGACATCCTGTTGGATATGCTGTTGGTCCACCCTGCTGCTCACAGCGTGATGTCCCTTTTGAAGGGGAAAGAAATCTAAATAAGGCTGTCCTGTAACAGTGAACTTTCCTAGTGAGAGCTTAAAAGGTCTTTTCCAAGAGAAACAATTCCATGCTTCTATTTCTGGCTTCATATTTCTGCAATGTATAACACTTAAGTAGCCCATAAAAGTGTTGTTAATCTTCTTTTCGTTTGATGTTGATGAAAGAAATTAAGCTTTGATAACTATTCCTGAGACATTTTGGTATCTTAAATCCTTGCTCCCCCATCAGAGTGTTAGTTTAAAACAGAATTCTGGAATGGCTTTAAAGGGATAGAGTGGCTCTCCTTGATCTGTTGCTGGTGCTACTCATTCCTTTTCTGTGGAGAGAAATGTCCACACTGCCATGAACATGCCTGGAACTGGAAACAGAGAGGGATTGAAACTAAACACCTTTGCCCCTAAACACTTTCTGTAGTGTGGGTTTTTCTCCAGATTGGTTCTTCTGTGTCTCCTATGGCCTGGTCATTCTGGGATCAGTGAAAGGAAGTGTGCAGGGCAGAGCACAAGAAGGAACTTGGGAACATAAGTGAGATTATAGACAAAACCACAGTTTCCTATTTCTCACTGTTTCTGTTTGGTATCATTCTCTGTCATGTGATTGAGAATTCAGTCCATATTGTAATTTTGTTGTTTTTTTTTTTAATTTGGGTTTCTTGGGTTTTCTTGCAGTTGAGTCCAACTGTGCAGACACCACCGTAAAGGACGTAAATCATACAGTGAGTGAGACAACCCTTTTGTTCCAGGATGAAGGATTTCTGCTTGAGCCAGTTGATGATACAGGTCAGAAGTTGATCAGTTTCTAATGAATGTTTGCATTAACTAGGTTTGCTTTGCTTCTTAGTAGTGAAAATACTTGCAATATGGATTATTCCCACCTTAGATTTCATCTGCTCCTGCTGTCAGAGTTCCATTTTACAGTAAATATTATACAAACCCAGTGTCAGGTTATTTATCTCAGCTGCCCAAATCTCTGCTTGCAGTTTCTTCCATGTACTAAGTCAAGTTTTGTTGCTCTTCAGCTCCAGTAGCATTGCAAGCTTGGCCTTGGGGGTAGTATTGAAGATTCACCTGGGAAACTTTAATTGCCAGTGACACATCAGTGACTTGTATATTTAAAATCACTATCCTAAAACTTTCAAGCCTTTGGAAAACATTGGTTTGTGAACTTTTAACAAGATACAAGGTGAAAAGTATTACATTTCCTCTGTAGAGGAAATCTAAATGTCCCCTATCATCTTGGTGGCTGTTTATGAATAAACAAGCTCATGTTGACAGCAATATTTACAATATTGGAATTTTTTGGCCTGCCCAAATAATATCCAGGAAGTTATGGGTGTATAACTAATCTGTGTCTTTCTTTTGTGTTTACGTCTTTAATAAATTGCTAAATGATTAAACCGAAAAATACAGATATTAATTATGAGGAAATGAAACCTCTTGAGTACATCAGCAGTTCCTGGAGCATTTAATTTCTTGATGGATTAAAGACAGCTTACTCAGTCTTGTTGCTCTAGCATGTGTTCTCATGACGTTCTCCTGTTCCTGGTTCTTTATTAGAAGAGTCATTTGTCTTCCACCATCAAACATAAGGGAATTTCCAGTTAAAGAGTACAAAGAGTGAAAACTTCATAGAAACTTTTGAAGGAATGGCCTGTGCGCTTGTACTTTGATTTTCAAGTCTAGGCAGTGTTCAGAAGGTTGGCAACCAGGTTGATTCACTGTGCTTTTTTTCTGTGCTTAATGTCTTAGGAATAGACTTTAAGACTTGTTATTAATATTTACTTTATTTAGCTGTCACCCAGAGGAAAAAAAAACAAAGAAAGAGGAAGCTGATGGTGGATGCGGAGAGCGAGCTCAGCTGCCACACCATTTACAAGCAGCTCAATGACTGCACAGACCTCCTGACCACGCTGGACCTTGCTCCCCCAACCAAGAAAGCAATGATGTGGAAGGAGTGGGGAGCTGTGGATAAACTCCTGTTCCATGCTTCACAGCCTGAGATTCATACTCAGCTGCAAAAGGTAAAGATCGGTTCCTTGTGGGGTCTATGCCACTGTGTAGGTTCCAGGATTGTTGCAGAGCTGGGATCTGACTGAGACAGGTTTTGCAGACTGTTTGATCCAAACTTGGAGATGGCTGCAGGTGT